AATACACGGATTTCACCAAACCCCAGGTAAAATCAGAACTTACGCATTCTCCTACTTCAAAAATTTGAATGAAATCTCAAAGAGGAAGAGAAAAAATGACAAGCACATTATCTTGCATGCAAAATCTTACCTAGAGCGACTGGCCGCGTATGCTGAAGGTGGTGGTGGACCGGTGGTCTGTGACACTGTGGTATACAGAAGGAGCGAGAGTGTGAAGTTAGGTTTAAATAGTGCGATTGGAAATGCTTTTTTTAATAGATTTATTGGATAAAAAATGAGGTATTTTTGTTTTTAAAATGGATTATGTGAAATTTTAAATTCATATTTAAATAATATTTAAAATAAATTTAATAAATGCGCAAATTAAAAAGAAAATTTGTAGGTAAACAATTTGACTCTTGATGTTGTCTTCACTCATAATCCTTCAAGAGGTGGATTCCAGCCTGGTTTTGAAAAGAATCGAGGCAGAACTCCTTTCAACCAAAACTCTAGCGGGGGAAGACAAGGAAGAGGAAGATGAGGTAGAGCAAATGGTTCTTGCCAAGTGTGTGGAGTTCTTAGTCATGCAGCTGAAAGGTACTGGTATAAGTATGACAGTTGGTATATAGGGATTTCACCCAACAAAAGCAACAAAAATTTCAGCAACAATCCCACTCTGAATCTTGCTCACACACCTAGCTCGGCCTCATATGATTTCATTTATGAAAGGACCTAATGTTATCCTCATTCTGGTGCAACCAACCATATGATCAATGATTTCAGTGACAAAGCAATGCAGTGAGTACACTGGTGGCAATAAGCTACATATGGGTAATGGTTTTGGAGAACATAACCCTCATATTCGTAAGACACATATAACATTTTTCAATTCCAAAAGGGTGTTTATCCTTCAAGATCTTTTGCATGTTCCTAGTGTCACTAAAAAATCTCTCACGTGTGTCAAGGTTTACTTGAGATAAGAATGTCTTTTTTGAATTTCACCCATCTTGTTGTTTTGTGAAGAATTGAGTAACTCCGAGGGTGCTACTCCAAGGGGAGCTTAAACAAGAACTCTATCAGTTTCAACTTGCCAGTTCTTCATCCTCATCCTTCATCAATCCTCCTAGCTTTAAAGCTCATTCCCAGCCAACATATTCAGATAACTTAGTTGATTCTAGTAGTTTGAAGAAAAATGCTTGTCTAGATTTGTGGCACAAAAGGCTTGGTCATTGCTGTTATGAAATTGTCAAGAAAATTCTGAAGTCCTGTAATCAGTCTTTTGATATGAATAAAATGTCTCTTTATGTTTAGTTTGTGTTGTTTCTAAGATTCATAGACCGCCTTCAGTGATTCTAAAACCACATACACTGCTCTTTTTAAACTAATTCACTCAAACCTTTGGGGACCCTCTCCAATTAAATTAAAAACTGGACATGTTTACTATGAAAACTTTATTGACCTGAGGTGTATAGGTCCATGAAATTCTGTGAGTGATCCCATTATTTTGCATAAAGGAACTGAGTGCTCTATATTCCCCTCTCGAATCAATTTGAAGGGTTTTGATTTTCAAGTTAAACGGAGTTTCAACCATGCTCTTGAAGTAAAAGAAAATATAATGAACTTCATGTTTTTGTTTTAAGGAAGTAGATCCAAGTGAATTTTGTGTATTGGTAATGGCACTACACAAAGAAAACATAGGCTCATCACTGAAACGGGATTATCTCTATTGAATCAATCTTCGTTACCTTTACCTTACTGGGATGATGCCTTTGCTACTTCTTGCTGTATCATAAACTGATTGCCAACAAAGTCCTTGGATTTCAAGACTCCCTTGGAGATGCTACACCACCATACTCCTGATTATAATAGGTTAAAAACATTTGGTTGTCTTGTTTTTCCTTTGTTGAGACCTTATAACAAACATAAGTTACAACCAAGGACAGTCGAGGGAACTTTTATTGGTTTTAGTAGCATTCACAAAGGCTATAAAGTATTACTTCCCTCAGGTAAGGTTGTAAATTCAAGGCATGTTCTTTTTAATGAAGAAGTTTATCCTTTTAGTGATGCTGTCAAAAATCAAAACCTTAATCAATCTCATTTGCAAACTCAATCTCATATACCGCCTCTTATATCTACTTAGCAGTTCTTTGAACATGTTCATCCTTCTACCAACTGTCACAATACTCATACAATACCATCTCTCAAAGTGTAAAAAATCCCATCTCACCAATCTCATAGTCCAACTGTTTATAGTCATAGAACCTTAGACAGTCAATCTAGACACTCAACCTTTCCTTTAGCTGTTGATCTGCCCATAATGAGAGACAATTCTTCAGAATCTATTCAATTCAACATTACAACTCCAAGGAATCAAAACAAACATCACGTGATTACAAAAGGAAAGGCATGCATTTATAAGCCTCGAGTTCTGATGGCCAGCATTGAACAAAATGAGCTAACATGTCTTGATGAAACTCTAAATTCACCTCAATGGTATGATGAAATGGTGAATGAATTACAGGCTCTCAAAAACAAAAACACTGAGTCTTGTCAATCCACCAACTGGTAGAACAATTGTTAGTTGCTAGTGGGTTTTTAAGTTGAAAAAGAATTCAAATGGCTTAATGTCAAGGTATAAAGCAAGGCTAGTGGCATTAAGGTTTTTCTCAAGCAGCAGACTTTGATTTTAAAGAGACCGTAAAACACTCAACCATAATAATCATCCTCACTGTGGTTGTTCACTACTCTTGGAAAATCAGACAGCTTGATATAAACAATGTATTTTTTAATTGTGATCTTTCTGAAAAAAAAAAAAATAACTTTATGATACAACCACTTGGTTTTGAAGAGAAATATCATTATGCAAAGGTCTGCAAACTCAATAAAGCCATCTATGGGCTCAAGCAAGCATCAAGAGCATGGTTTCTCATGGTTAAAGGAACTCTAAACAACATGGGATTCTGTTGTTCCAAATTTGACAACTCCATATTCTTTAGAAGGAATCAAACCTCAGTAATTCTTGTTTTGATCTATGTTGATGATATTTTTCAGAGATAGAAAGTGTAATCACTCACTTTGGCTATAACCTCTCTCTTAAAGACCTTGGTGAATTCCATAATTTTCTTAGGATGAAGATTCACAAAATAAAATATGGTCTCTTTCTCTCTCAAGAGAGATATGCTTAGGAACTTCTGTAAAGGCTCTCAATGTACAATGCTAAGGGGAAGTATTCACCTTGGTTTGAAGATTACAAAATCTGATAACTTAAATGTGGTTGGATTTTTGTGATTCTGACGGGGTAGTTGATCTGGATGATAGGAGATTGACTACTAGATTTTGTGTGTATCTTTGAGACAGTTTAGTGTCTTGGAGCTCAAGAAAACGGGCTTCTGTTTCAAGGCCCAGTGCAAAGGCTGAGTACTACAAGACTTGCTCACATTACTTCTGAAATTATTTAGATCCTCAATTTGTTAGGTGAATTGAATTTTAAAAGCTCAACTAGACCAATTTTTTGGATTGCAACATCAGTGCTATCTCAATAGCATCAATTCTGGTCACGCAAGGGAGAACAAAACATATTGAGTTGGATTATCACTTTGTAAGGGAAAAGGTCGCAGCTCAAAATCTTGAAGTTAGGCATGATCTCAGCCAGTGTTTTAAAACGCGTATAGCGTAATGCGTCGCGTTTTGGTCTTTATATTGCGTAGCGTAAATAGCGTAGCGTATAGCGTGGGTAATTCGAGCAAATCATATCTAAATAATAAATATATATTTATTAAACAAATATATAATAAAATAAATTAGCTTAAATACTCCTCAATTACAAAATTATAATATTAGTATAAGAAGTTAGCAATTCAATTAATTAAGTATGTGTATTCAACACTTTTTTAATAGAAATTATAATATTAATATAAGAAGTTACATTAAGTAATTCAATAAATTAGTTTAAATAGTCCACTTT